TTTATATTTATATTTATATTTATATTTCTTTATAATATACTGGGAAGGAGTCAGAATCCTCAACCACAGAGCAGCAGAGGATAATACTCGGAGGATCTGACTTACTAGTTCAGCTGATAGGTGTTGGTGTGTACGTACACAACAGAATTTTTACACTGGCATCATCAGTAATCTACTTTTTCTTTGCCACTGCAGTCACTCAAGTAATGATTACAGCATGTGGTCAAAACAGGAGAAAGCACTCAGTTCTCTATCATAAATGGGATACTAGAGTGCAGAAAGGTCAAGTCTGTTAGTAGAATTTTTCTAAGTGATTTTTCTCTCTTCGAACAAGTGACACAATATTTTAGCTGAATGCAAAATGTTTTTTCACGTTTCAAATTCTAAACAGTTGTCGTGGTATTTTGTACCATATTACTTTTTTTTTTTTTAATTAGGTGAGAAATTGGTCCCAGGTGCTCGGGAAGTCCTCACAGAAATATTTAAAAGCTGCATTCATTCTGAGCAAATGCTGAGCTTAACTCCAGCGAAACCCATTAAGGTGGCTGATATCTATCTTAGTAAGGAGCAGATAAATTCTCAGACTCCTGGAAACCTTCTTCACGTGTTCTTCACAAATGTGCGCCCTCCAAAGAAAGTGCTAGAGGACCAGCTTACTCAGGTAGTGCTTTGAAAATTATTTTCAACATCCTTTTTGTGTATCTTGAAAGCATTGGGTAATTATTCACTTTCTGTGTTGGAAGATTTTAAGGAAATACGGGGTGCCCAAGCCAAAATTTGACAAGAGCAAGTACAACAAGGCGGGCAAAGAGCAGCATCCAGTGAAAGTTGTGAGCACCAAGCGCCCGGTCACCAAACCACCTACAAAGGAAAAGTCTATGCTGAATAGTGTCAGGTTGGTGTCTTCAGCTTGTTGACAGTTTGCAAAACATTTGATTTCTCTTTAGGAATCCTGATTTTTATTTCCCCTCCCTCTCTGTTTCCATGTACTGATTGGAAGAGGGAAATGCGACTTTGAGATTATAAAAGACTTTGAAGGAACGTTTTGGTTTCTTGAACAGACAAAAGAAAACTTTCATCCTAACATTCACTTTGTCCCTTAGTCGAACAGCCTTAAGTGAGAAGAAACCTACTGTAAAACCAAAATCTCCTGAGAAGAGCAAACCTGAAGAGAAGGACCCTGAAAAGTCTCCCACAAAGAAACAGGAAGGTAGTACCTGTAATTTTTCTGTAGTATTACGTCATGGAAAATAAATCCTTTTTTTGTGTTGGCATGCTTGTATGATGTCGTGCTAGATTTGGTTTGTCTTTGTTTTTAATGAGGATAACTTAATTTTTTTGTGTGATTTAAAATGCTGCTTTTATTTGTGTATCTGTAAATCATCCATGTAAGGGAGAGCAACCCATGCTCATCCAGTTCATGCAGCAGTATGTGTAGGCCACGTGAATACTTTGGGTAGAGAACTGACTTCCGAAGAGATACAGTTTTGAGGCTTTTTTTGTACAGTAGAGGATTAGGATATCATGGGGTTGGGCTAGGTGGTTTTAAATTGTGTTTCTCAACTTATATAGAAAAATTATTAAGTTTCAAGAGGAAAATTAGACAAAGAGAAGCTTCAGATGCCTCATAACTAGTCTATCCTTGGAGAAGACAGCACAGCCATGCTGTGACAGGGCTTAGTTCCAGGGTCTTGCTTGGTATTTCTTTCTCTAGTCAGGTGGAGGAGTGAATAGATGTGAGCTTGGACTCTGCTCATCACTGTAGGAAATGCCAGGTTAGTTCAGAAGAGGGGAATTTCAGCATTCAGCCAACTCTGGGTCCCTGATACCTGGTTAGATACATTGCTGGAGCTATTCCAGAGGGCAGCTGGGGGAACTGGTGTCCTTGAGAGGAAAGAATAAAGAATCTGAAGGCCAGATTGGACCCAAATAGCATGATGTTTAGAACTGCTCAAGAAACGAGCCATGGTGGGGTGGGTAGAACCAGGAGGAAGCTGGCAGGTAGCCACCTCGTACACTGACTCTTTTCCTATGTGGTGTGTAGATTTTATAGTAAGTCATTAACTATTTGATGGTCGTGTCTTTGCTGTCAGTTCCTGAGGAGAAGTATTTGACACTGGATGGATTTCACAGATTTGTGGTTGACCGATCTAAGCAGGACATCCGTAGTGTGTGGAGAGCTATTCTGTCCTGTGGATACGATCTACATTTTGAAAGGTAAGTTTTGCAAACCTTTTTGTAAAGGTGATAGTGATTAATTGTGAAAGAGTCACTGTGCTGTCAAAATGCAGGTCCCTGACTTTTTTGTAAACAATATAGCTAATGAAATCATAGGCCATACTGCCCTTATAGCTTCCAAACTGTGTAATAAATTGCCCTGAGAATTGTAGATCCACCTGGCTGTCTCTGGTTTCCTTCCTTTCTGTTCTGTGCACTGGGTAGTTGTTTAAACTGGCAGTGTTGTCACTGGGTCAGTCGTAAGGTAGGAGAGAGAACAATTACTTCTGTGTTAATATTGTACAGGAAGAAAGTTCCTTAAATGAACCCTCCTTATCTCCCTGTGTCAAACCACAGGCTCATTGTGCCACAACCCCTTCACCTCTTCAGAGTGTAAAGAAGATAGTGCAGTGAGTAACCTTAATAGTCAGCTCCTTTTTTTTCTTATTCTTAATAACCATGAGGCAAGGTAGGTGATAAATCAGTTCTTATTCTCAAACTGGAATTTTTGTAATGAAACAGCTCTGCTTAAGAAAAAGGGAGAGAAGTAGAAGGAGCTACGTGGTGTTGTGCTCAACATGCTCTTAGTAAGCAGTATGGCAGTTATGTTTCAGCAGGTCTTATGCCCTTTACATTTCAGGTGTGCCTGCATTGATGCCAGACATGCTCAGAAAGCATCCCGGAAATGGACACTGGAAATGGATGTGGCCCTTGTCCAGTATATTAACAGGCTTTGTCGTCACCTCGCCATTACACCAGCACGACTCCATCCCCATGAAGTTTATTTGGATCCAGCTGATGCAGCAGATCCCAGAATTTCCTGTCTGTTGAGTACGTATTGATTGTTTGCACAGAGGCTTTTTTCCTCAATGGAAGAGCTGGGTAGTGCTCCTGAACGACCTGGCTGTTGCCCAGGTAGTTGGAACATTCCTTTGGAGGTTGCAGATTGGAGCCTCTGTGGGCCAAGGAGAACACTGAGTCTAGGTCTTCTCTCTCCTTGGGTGTGCTTGGGCTCCACGGTGCCTTTGGCAGCATTGTTAGATATGTACTGCAGCTGTTCTCCGCTCCCTGAGCACACCTCCTGCGTCAGCCTGGAGCAGGAAGATCTCTGGTGAGTTTAGCTTGCAGGGGAAGGAGGTTGAGATTTTAATTCTGGACCTAGGCAGATTTTAGTCACCTAAATCCTGTTCTAAGCACTTAAGTTCCTTTAAGAGGGTTTCCAGATAATGCAAATTCAGCGTTGATGAAAAAATACTGGACTCAGACACCCAGAGACTTGAGATGCAGGAAGGAACATCACAGGTCACAGATGTTGTTACATCTTGAGCTGTCTCGTTGATGGGCAGGGATCAGGAGGGGCTGGCTGCTTTAGAAGGAAGTTTGTGTGGTTCCTGGACTGAATCTGCTGGGAAGGTGGACTTTGCAGTAGGTAGAGAATCTCTTTATCAATCTGACTAGTTGTTTCCCACCTCAGATGTTCCTGTTGAAAGTCTACGTCTACGGTTTGCGCTGCTTCAGTCTCTCAACACAACGTTGGAGACCTTCTTCCTCCCGCTGGTGGAGCTTCGGCAGACTGAGATGTACGCCAACAGCATCGCTGCCTTACTGCAGGAGGCCAAAGGTCGGTGTCTTGGGGAGCGTGGCTGCTGCCTGACAGGGGGCACTGAGCACCACACTGAATTTCATGGCGTACTTTGCAAAAGGTTGTCATGCACGGGAAGGAGAAGGTGGAGGGGAGAGGGAAGGCCGTAGGGTGTGGTTTCTGTGTGCTGACAAAGGCTTATTGGCTTCGTTCTCAGCCCCGTAAGCTGGCACACGGTCTGTCTGAGGTGACAGCCAAAAAAAAGGCACCTCTCAGTGGGGGAGTTGTTTCTCTTCCTTGGTTTGTTTTTTAAAGGTGAGGGAGGTTATTCCTGCAAGTAGTTAATAGACAGAGGTTGTTCTTGCAAGTAGTGAACAGACACTGTGCACCTTTCTTGACTGTGCTGGCCAAGTTGGCCCATATTTTCTCTCTCTGGGTGGCCTTCAAATGTGCCTTTATCTTCTTGAGAGTATCCAGAAATTACAATTCTTTGTTAGGCAACAAGCAGCAGCTCAGCCAGAAGTCCTGGGACATGTTGGCATCCTCATTGTCATTGAGGCTGTAGAATTAGAGAGATCAAGAAAATAATTCTTGTACATCAGCATTTAAAATAGCTTTTACAACAAACAAACCCAAGATTTAGGTCATTCCATTTCCCAAACTTCTCTTCTTACGAAGAAGAAGACACAGAATTCATCAATGTGTGTAAGTCAGTTTTTATATTGGTTCAGTTTGAAAAAAAAATTGGAAACCCAGTATGGGGAAGTGAGGAACGTTCAGAGATTTCTCCTCATAGAGTCCATACTGCTGGTGCAATGTGACAGCTCCAGTTTTTAATCTTTTTTTCTCATCTCTAGCATTATTGTCAAAACATCTCAGATTTCTGAAAGCTATTTGGCAAAGTGTTTCTGATTTACGGGGATTCTGGTGGAGTTGCTGGGATTTATTTATATAACACTAGAATTGTGTTCATCAGTGTTCTAACCCAGGGCACTTCTTCCAGTAAACATTAGTAACAAATGCTTTAAAAAGGGAAAAAAAGGGGCGGGGGAAGTTGTGGATTAACCATACCTACCTAGTGAGGGTGAAATTATTATTGTACTCTTGTCCACTAGAGAATTTCAGAAAATAAGATCATGGAAGGATAGATTAACTATACTGAAATGTGTTTCTTTATTTAGGTTTAATCTTTTATGACACAAAAGTAACTGTAATGAACAGAGTGCTGAATGCCACTGTCCAAAGAACTGCTGATCATGCAGCCCCAGAAATCACTCTGGATCCCTTGGAAATCGTTGGAGGTATGGGAGACACTAATCCATTTCAGTTCACTGCAATAAGTCAGATCTGTTTTAACCAAATTCAGATGCTTATTAATGCCAAATACTTTATTTTATCTTTTTTCCCTTTTGTTTTTGAACAGGAGAGATCCGTTCTTCAGAAAACTCCTATTTCTGTCAGGCAGCCAGGCAGCTGGCCTGCGTGCCGTCCTCCCAGCTCTGCGTTAAACTGGCCAGCGGTGGAGACCCTACGTACGCTTTCAACATCCGCTTCACAGGGGAGGAGGTTCATGGAACAAGTAAGTCAGGGATTACGGAGCTGCCAGCACGGGTGACATCAGGTGCAGTGGTGAGGACTTACTCCAGGTGGAATCCAAGTGTTCCCCAGGACACGGCTCCTGTTAACTTCAGGGAGCAGCGTTACCTTTGTGTGTTCGTAGTCCTGCAAGTGGAAAAGAACGAACCTTTAAGAATTAAGCAAACCAGGTGGTTAATTTACGTATTTTAGCTAATACAGCAGGAAGTGTGAGTGCCTGGGCGTGTGGTTTTGCTAACTAGAGCAAGTAGGTTTAGGTTAGATATTAGGAAGAAGTTCTTCACTGTGAGGGTGGTCAGACACTGGAACAGGTTGGCCAGAGAAGCTGTGGCTGCTCCTCCCTGGAAGTGTTGAAGGCCAGGTTGGATGAGGCTTTGAGCAACCTGGTCTAGTGGAAGGTGTCCCTGCTGCTGGCAGGGGGATTGGAACTGGATGATCTTTAAGGTCCCTTCCAACCCAAACCAGTCTATGATTCTATGATTCTAAGTACATAAAGAAATAATATCTTGTTTGAAGCACGGGGAGAGCGTTTAGTGAGAATGTCTCTTCAGGTTGCTTTGATGCTCAGCCGTGGTAAACCCTGACTGTGCTGATAACAGAGATTCTTTTTTTTGTAATATTTGCTTGTTAGTAATGAGCTGGGTAACGCTCCTGAGTGTTTTACTGTTCAGGTGGTGTGAGATTGTAGAGCCAATAGATTAAGATACTCTAAATACTAGCACAGGCTACATCATCAGACATAACCAGCAAGGAATATGCGGGTGTTAACAGTTAGAAATGGTCACGCCCAAGTGAGGTGGTTTTGAGACTTGTTTTCAATGTGACATCAGAAGTGTGAATTTGAGCTTGTCTCAGCCAAGCTGAAGAGGGGGTGAGTATGATAAGGTTTTGTTGCTTTAAAAACTGTTCCTAATTTTTGCAGTAAATAACATTAAAATTGCATCTCCCTCACTTCTGTGAGATGTCCAATATTTCTTCTAATCGTTTTAATTTTCATGCGACTGGTTAAAAGAATGAACCTCAAAAAGGAGCAAACATTTAACTGCCCTGACTTCACCCAACCAATACAGACTCCTCGTGACATGGGAGCTTTTCAACTGCTTTTCAACAGAAAGTGTTCAGGAATAATCTCACTTGATTAAACAAGATGATTATGCCTTCTCTTCTCTTGACACTGTATTTTAATTTGTGAGGCTTCATTCTTTGTAAGATCATCTTTACGTGGATCCAGCCCCTTTTGGATATTGATTTGGGTGCTGGCTCCCTTGGACGCTACGTGGGTTGCGTGTGCTCCAGGAGGAGACTTGGTTTAAGCAGAGCCGGGAAGATCTTGCTTTGCAGATCTGTTGAATAATTGATATCAAGGCAAATACCAAAACTGTGTCAAAGAAGACAGTTGATTGCTGCCGGCTAAATTAACGCCGTGTCTGTGTGCTGATGGTAATAGCTCCTTTTTGGAGATGGGTGGGGGGGTGTGAGGAGTTGGAGAAGAAAAACCCCAACTGCTCTTCTCCTGTTGCCCACTAGTGTCACCTGTCAAATGCTGCAAAGGAAAATTTGTGTCATTGGGCGCCTATTAGCTGAACAAAGGGCTCCTTGATGCCTTCTCTCAAGGGCAATGCTTTTCTTTTTAAGGTCTGTGGTGGTTCCTGACAGTGGCTGTTAAGAGATCAATGTTGTGTCCACAGCTCAGCTTCTGTAATGATTTCTGATGCCTTGCCTCACTGCTTTTAGCCCTGGAAATGAAGACAGCACCGTTCATCTTCTAATCAAGTCAAGAATTCCATTTGCAGGCCAACTGGTGTAACAAATGTTTGTGCCAGTCGTGCACTCAGAGCGCGG